TTTGCCTTGTTTGCTAGCCAGACTCAGTCGTATAGATTATCTTTAGGAACTTTTGCTCGGCAAAGATTTGTGACCATGATGTCTTCGGCCATGTAAATATAGGGCTGTGATCAGCTGCTTAGCCTATCCATCGTTAAAATTTTGCATGGTGTGAAAGTCAACTCTTTTTTTTTTATTTTTTATTTTTTCATTTTGTGGGCAAAGACCAAAGATACAACTTGAGCAATTCATATGTTATTAAGTAAATTATTTAGTGATAATATCTCCCTTACATATTACCGTCATTGATTAATATTTTTAGACCAACATAATTCATAGCAAGAAACAAAAGAAAATCATACTACATCCGTTTCAGAAAGGCGAAACCTTGAATCGCCTGAAGAACAAGCCGGACGGGCCCCCATGGGGAACGAGCGCAAGCTTCACAGGGGCTTCGGCAGCTTCGTCCGCGCTTAAAAAGCCTTGATTACAAGTGATGTTAGTCCTCACAAAACCCGGGCAAACGCAGTTTATGCGAAAACTCGGATATTTTCTAGCCATGAGCCTCGTGTACGCGCTTAAGGCTGCTTTCGACACTTTGTAAGACGAAAGCTGAGTTGGCCAGCCATCACCTTCGAGCGAGCCTTCTTTGAAGCTCTTGAGGAAATTCTTCACCACCTCGTCTATTTTCTCTTCGGTGAGGTTCTCTGGGTCGCTCAAGACACGTTTAACCCACTCGCTCGAGAAAACCTAACATAAAAAGTCTTTAAAACTACACTTAATTGGAAATGGAGGGAGTAGAGTTTACCTTCAAAAGTCCAAGTGAAGAGGAGATATTAACAATTCTTGGTGAATCTGATAATTTTAAGAGTGGAATGAGAGCTTCAGTTGTTCTGTTTGCACCATAATAGTTTGTCTGCAGACATTCTTGGGCACCCTCATAAGTCTGTATTACACTTCCATTTGCTTTAGCTCCATCTCCTTGTGGCTGCACTTATTTGGTAAAATGGCCTTGTAATATATATGTTATATGTCCAATAATGTTTTCTTATTTTATTTTGTTTCATTTCAAGTCCATTTAATTAATAAAATTTAGAAACATGTCTATTTGAGCTTTTACACACAAGTGTTTGATATATATATATATATATATATATATATATATATTAAATAATAATTATTATTTTTAATTATTTATTTTGTAATTTATAAACCTTTTACCTCATCAGAAAGTGAAGCTAATATTAACTCTTCAACAATCAAAGGATCTCCTTCTACCCTTGCTATTCCAGAAACACCAGCATTATTCACCTGCACAATAATAATAATCCAACTATTTAATTTGGAATTAAAAAAAAAAATATATATAAGACATTACAACAAGTAAAATCATACCATATTCTCGGATTAATAACTTAAATAACACTAATAATTTTATTAATATAGTATGATTTACTTGTTCTATATATATAGTTGGCTCGACTCCATTATGGAGCCAACTATTGGCTTCATAGCAAAACCGTAATAAAATAATAATATAAAGTACCAAAATATCAAGCCTCCCAAATTTGGATTTAATAAAGTCATAAATGGATGTAATGCTATTGGAGTCCACAACATCAAGTTGGTGAAAAACAAATCTATCTGAAAACCCAAATTCCTTTAGCCTTTCTTGAGCTTCAATGCATTTCTGCTCATCCTTGTCTGTTAACACCACCATAATTCCTCTTGAGGCTAACTGTTTGCAGATCTCAAACCCAATTCCCCCATTTGCCCCTGTCACCAATGCATACCTGAAAAATAAAATAAAATAAAATAAACATTAAAGATGTGATTACATATACATTATAATCTCTGCTAGCTATGATAAAAATATTTTTTTTTTTCTTATCGTAAATTTATATATCAAAACTGAAGTACAAAGACCGATAATCGGCAAACAAAAGACAGTGGGCAGCCTTATGCGCGGCTCATGATGAAAATATTTTATTAGCATACCTTTGTGTACTTGTGTTAAGAAATGAATCTGCCATTGATATTATATTATTTATTTTTATTTTTATTTTATTTATTTATTTATTTATTTTTGGCTTTTTGGTTGCTGGGAGTGGAGAAGCCAAGCAAGTGTTGTTAGTAGTGCTTCACAATAATGGTTGGATGATATTTTTATAGTACAAAATTTTGAGCCTAACATTGAGCCTAGCTAGGTCAACCCTTCATAAAATATCGTGAAGTCTGTTTGAGCCTAAGATTTCAGTAAACAAGATTTGTTGTGATCAGGAATATTGAATTCAATCTTGTGATAATTTATATTGTATTGTGTAGGTATTATTATATTGAGTTGCCTAATTATTATTATGTAATGTAATTATAGTTTTTAAATAGTTATAGATATTTTAATACATATAATATATATTATTTTAAAAAAAAAAAAAAAGTGTGACATTCACAATATATAAGTTTAAAAAAAAAGTATACTTGTTTTAGCAGTTAGATTGCCTAACATCATAACTTGTGTTACCTCAAAGTTCAAACACATATGTCAATTGGGCAAATATAATTAAGTAGTAGTAGTACATTGAGCCTAACCCTCAAAGGGATTGTTGTTCACTATTTATTTTCATTACTGACAAGTTGGTGTAGAACAATAGTCTTAATATTATTATTATTATTATTATTATTATTATTATTATTATTATTATTATTATTTATTTATTTATTTATTTATTTATTTATTTTATCTTGGCTTGGTGGACAAGTCAAGGAGTAGGGTTTATGGGAGCTTTATTTAAAGGACTCTCCCTCTTTTGTTATCTTCAGTTGGTTATTGAAATGAAAATAAGATAGTGTTGAGTTTTGCATGTTTTACGAGAGAGTATCTCGTTTACTCGTTTATCTTTCTTACTCGTACGTTTCCCTACATCACAAGTGTACGGCGTAACTATATAGATAGTGTCGAGCAATGTTGTATTCCATAGAGATTGTAGTTACATCAATCAAATATCAAAATGACAGCGATTAAATTTTATTTAAGCTAATGCAAATTAAGAGATTGATTATGATCTAAGAAATTAAACTAATGACTAATTTATCTAAGAAATAAAAATTTGGGAATAATTAAAATAAATAATGAATAATGAAATAGATTTTAATTTATGCTTTCCTCGGAATCGATTCATGAAATGTTCAAAATTCAATCAAACTTTATTTAATTTTACCAGTAATAGAGATAATCGTTTAATAAATTTAACATTTCTCTTGAACACGTAGATTAGATGTTATCTATTTTCTTTCAGTCTCAACATAAACAATCAAATTCCCTAAATTTCTAGAATTTCTGTTCACTCATAAGATCTTATAACTTCTTGGTCTTTTTATTTCCTTAAATTATAAGTTTTCTAATTCTGCAAAATTAACTTCTTCTCTCGGTCTAAATTCGATCACGAATATGTATTCATAAGCGGTTGTATACTCATATAATAAAAAAAAAAAGCATAAAAACTTCACAAGACGAAAGATAAACCGAAATGACAACAATAAAAACTATACCACAAATCCCAGAATCTAAAATAATTTTAGTCTAATAAAATGTTTCTAAAAGCAAGAAAGTATATATAAAACATTGACTTCGAAAGAGAAAATAAAAAGAAAGAAAAAGTTTATTCGTCTTTGTCGAAAAACCAGTCAAACTATTCTCGGACATCCCCATCTCCGGTGACAGCATGGAGGAAATATCGATCTTGGTGTATTATCCGGCTGATCAGAACGTCCGACGCTCGGTCTCCGGTGGTCGATCAGCTCAAAAAAATGGCAGAGGAGGAGAAAGAAATCTGCTGCCAATTTACATCTATGTCCCTCAATTTAAATATCAATTGGGTTGGCCTTGTTCTTTTGATAAATGTCAAATGGGCTGCTCCAACTCTTTCTTCTGGTCTTGTAATTGGGCTGTAAATACATAACAAATCTATCTCAAATTTGTGCCCATTAACTCCAAATTTGTTCAGGCCGTGTATTGGGCTCGTCCTAATGCATAGTCTAATTCCGTCTTTTCCTGTTTATTGCCGTTTCCTTCAAAAATTAATTCGACCTCATTTCTTAATAAAAACTCAAAATAACACATTCCCCATAGCTTAATAAAATTAATTAAATAAAATAATAATACATATGAAGATGGATTAAAATAGAATAGTACATGAAAAATATTGATATAATTCATACCACAACACATACACTTTAAAAACAACATGATCACTATCTCAGTTTTGTTCAACTTCAAATTATTCAAGAAAAAAAATCAGAACTTGAAACCACAGAGATATGGCTTCTAAAGAAGTTGAGAGGACATTTGCATCTGATCAAAGAACTTGCCCGAGGGCCCACCATCTGGCAAAAGGGCTAGCCTCACAGGGCTCCTTGCCCCTTCTTCAGGCCTCAATGGGCCCGAGTGTCTACTGAGGTCGGTCTTGACCCAACCAGGGCACAACGAGTTAACCAGCATTTTAGGATACCTTTTGGCAAGAAGATTGGTGTATGCAGTCACGGCCGCTTTCGAGACACAGTACGCACCCCAATAGCTAGGCCAACCTTTGGCTGATAAGGTTCCCTCTTTAAAGTCTTTAAGGTATTCGTTCAGGACTTCATCGATTTTATCCTCTGTAAGGTTTTTTATGTCGTTGAGTTTCTCTTGGGCCCGCTTGTTGCTCTGAAACGAAAAAGCTCAACAAACGTTAGATATTCGATTTATTACTTTACCGAGTGAAAAATAAATAAATAAATACAGTAAGGGATAATATTTGGTGGATAAGATGTTGATAAGTTTGTGAAATGTAAATTCAAACATCCGAAACCTAAAGCACGTCTTTTTTCTTAAGCTAATATAGCTAACATTACTTTTTTTTTCTTTTTTTTTTCAAAGCTAACTGCAAAACCTTCTTGATTTGCATCTATCTTTCTATACGCCACACATTGTGAAGTAAATATTCTAACGCATCTATTTGCAATTAGAAGTATTGGAAGAAATATAGCTCATACCCCGACACTCTTCATTGTGGAGGAAATATTAACAATCCTTGGCGACTCAGACAACTCAAGTAAGGGAAGAAGATTTTCAGTAGTCCTCTTTAGTCCATAGTAATTTATTTGCAGGCACTCAACTGCTAAATCATATTCAGTTTTCCTGGATTTTGATCCACCACCCTGAAAATTTAAAAAGACCGAAAATAAAAAATGAATGAATGAATGAATAAACGAAACAAAGGAATAAAAGATGAGATAAGTTTCACATCTTGGAATGAACCTTCCTTTAGAAATAACAGCTCAAGAAATTGAGAAATGTAAAACTACAAAAACAAAGACACGGAATAATAAAAGCAAACATTGAAACTTTTAAACTTTACCTCACTGTCGGCAACTCCATTAACCCCAGCATTGCTCACCTGCACATATTAGCCCAACGAGCCCTTTAAGTACATGTTCAGTCTTTACAGTGCAGCAAAAACAGGGAAACTAAAAATTTATCCCTTTGTAAATGAGCAATACCAACACCACAGTCCATGTAAATCCAGATTGTTCTGCTATTATATGATCGTCTTAGCGATATAATTTCAAAATTTTCGAACAACCCGATTCTGCGGTTAACTAAACAGCACCCATAAACTTCAGCTAATTCCTACAGTCCTATACAAAAACAAAACATAAAAAGATCCCAATGATTATCATTTTTTTGGGGGGAAATTCAGAACAACTTCACTAGAATTCAACACAACACAAACATCATATCTCAAAACAACACATTTTCGAGAAAATAAAGAATCACGGGCAAACTTAAGATGGCACAATTTCGACAGAACAATCTGCGGGCATACCAAAATATCAAGCTTCCCAATCTTGGATTTGACAAACCCAGCAAGAGACTGAACGCTGGGCAAATCTGTGACATCAAGCTGATGGAACATGACGTAATCATCAGAAAGCCCAGATTTTTTCAGCTTCTCGACGGCTTCAAGCCCTCGCCTTTCGTTTCTGGCGGTCAGCACCACAGAAACACCCTGAGAAGCCAGCTGTCTGCATATCTCGAACCCAATACCTTTGTTCGCCCCTGTAACAACAGCGTACCTTAAAATAACAAACACAAAAAAATTTTTGTGTGTAAGAAACGATTGAAAAAACGAAAGACGCAAATAATCAAGAAACTGATGTGGGAAAAACCAATTTTTTTTTTTGTGTGTGTGTGTGTGTGTGTGTGTGTGTGTGTGTAAAGAAAGGATTTTTTTGGTTCCTCGTTACTTCTTGATATCGGAGCTTTTGGAGGTTATTCCAGCCATGGCGACGGGTGAAGTGGCTGATGGGTTTTTGAGTTTCAGCTTTAGAAGGAACATTTTGTTGCCTTCCTTTTTTTTTTATTTTATTTTTTTATTTTTTTAATGATTAATGTTAAATGGTAATGTGAATATTAATTAATAAAAAAAAAAGGTAATAGATTTTTCTTTTCTCATTTTCGCAAGACTTTGGTATTTCCGTAAATTTTCAGCTATTTTTTTGTCTCACTAAAGATATTATTGTTGATTCTTTTGTTCGTAGTGCTTTCCTATCGTGTGGTATAAAAAAAACTTGAAAATAATGACAATAAAATTAATTACCAGACAATATTTCTCCTTTTCCCCTTCATTCTGGAAATATGCATTCTCACTCAGTAATGGGAATAGAAAAATTCAAGACAGGTAAACCACTCGACTCATCGGACGACATCGACTCATCAGATGACACGACTTACAAAGCCTTTCACAAGCACGAATAATATTTTCGAAAATTATTTTCTGCATATATGACTTTTGTAACTTACAGAAAAACAACCACAGATTTCTTCACAATCCAAACTATACTATTCCTCAAAAGATGAAACCTCCTTCCTTTCAAACAACAGGCCCGTGGGCTCATCATCAGGCAGCAATGCTAGCCTCACCGGGCTTTGACCACCTTCCTCCACAGTCAACAAACCGATACCATAATTCATGTCGGTTTTCACCAGTCACCACTCCAGGAGATACGCAGTTAATCCGAAAGCTCGGGTTTTTTCGAGCCAGGACCCTTGTGTAAGCATTAATGGCTGCTCTCGAGACTCTATATGCACTGAAGTACAGAGGCCAGCCTTTAGCCTCTAACAAGCCTTGTTTGAAGTCTTCAAGGAACACTTTTACCACATCATCGATTTTCTTGTATGTAAGATTTTCAGCATCTTTGAGTATTTCCTTAGCCCATTCGTTCGGAATATTCTGAAAACAGAAAAAAAAAAAAATTGGTCGAAAAATTGGAATATTCTTTCGACGACGAACCCTCTAAACCATGGCTCGACTAGCTCGAGCTAGCTCAAAAAAATTTCACTGATAGATCAATAAGGTCTCGATTTGTTTGTCGCCCAGCTATTATTAGTTATTAAATAAGGAAATGTATTTACATCAAAGGATATTCAGTAATATACTGTTCTACAAAAGGTAAAATTCAGTAATACATTGTAATAAATCACAAATCCTATTACAAAACAGTTCACACATAGATATTAATCTAAATGTGGCCAAGATTAAGACACAATACAGAGCCATCTTTATTGAACACAAGTACTTAAACCATAATTTTAAGCATAACCTAATAACTCAATTTTAACCAACTGGTTCAAAGTATTCTTCACAATCCACATACTTCATATTATATCATCCCTCAAAAGACGACTCTTCATTCTTAACGAAAAACATGCCCGTGGGCCCGTCATTAGGCAACAACGCTAGCCTAACCGGGCCTTTCGCGCCTTCCTCGACAGTCAACACACCAGAATTGTAGTTGATATCGGTCTTCACATACCCGGGGCACACGCAATTGATCCGAAAGCCCGTGTATTTTCGGGCCAGAATCCTTGTGTAGGCATTGAAGGCTGCTTTAGAGACCATATATGCACTGAAGTACAAAGGCCACTTTTCGGCCTCTAAGCGCCCTTTTTCGAAGTCTTTGAGGAACTGATTTATGACTTCGTCGATTTTCTCTTCCGTGAGATTTTCGGGGTCATTTAGTACCTTTTTAGCCCATTCATTTGGTATATACTGAAACCGAACAAAAAGCGTACGAAATAAAATTAACCTCACACCGAATTAGAAAGTCACATACTACTTACAAGTTGAGACAAAAGGAAAGTTGCAATTTGCGAAATCGAAAGCAATTTTTTTTCTTTTTCTTTTTTGTTCGAAAAGCAGAATATATGATACGTGCCTGAAGCTTGCCGGCCCCGGAAGAAACATTGACGATCCTTGGCGAGTCGGACAGCTGAAGCAGAGGAATAAGAGCTTCTGTAACACTTTTGGCGCCATAATAGTTTGTCTGAATACATTCTACTGATTGTTCATAGGTTTGTACCATGTTCAAGTCATCCCAGTTGATATTTGGACCAAACTACACTCACACAGAAAAAAAATAAATAAATAAATAAATTAGAGAAACAGCCCAAGATTTGGAGTATTTATAGAAAAGGCCCAGTTAATTAATATTTGAAAAAAAAAAAAGAACAAAACTGTGGAGATTTACCCCATGGGCAGCCCAAGCTTTCTGGCCAGCCTCATCTATTGTGACTCCAAGAATCCCTGCATTGTTTACCTGCAATTTTATTTTTTTAATTAAGGTTCACAATATTGATATAGTACTTTTTATTTTTATTTTTTAGTTTAAGAAGATATATATCGTTGAGACTATGAAATTTGGATAAATGGAACAATTTATTCTGTATGAAGAAACATAAATGTCATTTTGGATATTTTGTACATATTTTTCCATTATTATCCTCATCCCGCTAATAAATACATTACGTCTTTTCATATTCATTCTTCATCTTTTCTCAAAACATCCATCTCTATCCTCATTAATGTTGGTTATTATTGGCAAAAAAAATATTATTAATAATCGTGCAACTTCTCAAAACGACACTTATTTATTACGAATAGGAATGAGTGTAGATCATACCAAGATATCAAGCTTTCCAAATTGGGACTCAACAAATAGAGCAAGTGATGCAATACTTGCTAAATCAGTCACTTGAAGCTGATGGAATATAATACTGTTGTTAGAATTAAAGCCACTGCTGCTGCTGCTGCTGCTTTTGAGCTTCTCAACAGCTTCAAGTCCTCTTTTCTCATCTCTGGCTGTTAATATCACTTTCACACCTTCACACAATAACTGTCTGCATATCTCATATC